TCTATGCCAGCTTTTCTTTGACAACCTTTGTATATCACTCCGCTTCTCTCTCAACGTAATGCTTAGCATTATGATTACATTCACAGGAGGAATTAGAAACGGCGTACTTCACCCTTTGTGCTCCCTGGACAGCTCATCTCTGTTGGCATCCCACAGGGCTGTGTGCTAACATGCCCTTGGGCAGGGCCCTATTGCAACAAAGGAAAGCTACTGACATCCATTCCAGAATCTTCAATAATTAAAATACTTACTGTGCAGAATGGGTCAGGATTTGAGTATACACAGCATGTTTTCTTTAGTCACACCAGTCACCACTGAAATTCTGTAGGAACAGAGTTGGTGTCATACTTGGTTCAGGTAAGAGGCACTGAAGACAAAGCTCGTAAGAGTAGGCTCTGTAACATATAGCAGTCACTATGTTGTAAGCACATTTTCTTGGGGGGGGGGGGAAAGAAGGGGCTTAGCCCTGCAGTGGTTTAGTGGCATTTACTCATACAAGCAGTCTTTCTGCCTAAAGGTTTTGTGCCTGCATAAAACTTGTGGGATTAGGTCCAAATCCAGTTACTGAAGAAGGTGCTTGTTCAGCTGTGTGCAAGACTGAGATGGTTTTTAACTATGGAAGTAAAACAAACAAACAAACAAACAAACCAACCAACCAGTTTTAGATGTGTAAGACTGAGAAGGTTGAGCTTTCCAGGTAAATTGTATGTGCTAGAAAGACTGTAAACGTAGTATGTTTAAAAATATTTTTTTAGAAGTCTTTTTTTTTTTCCTTAACACCCCCCGCCCTGCAAAAACACAGAGGGTAAATGCCAGGATTATGGGAGAGCAGAAAATCCCTCTTGATAGCATAGAACTTCTCCCCTGCTCAGTCATACTTCCTACAGCTACTTAAACTTTTGTTTTTACTCTTTAAACCTCTGCAGAGTTGCAGTTTGACGCTGTACCCTATGAAGAAATAGGGCTGCAATAAAGGTAGATGATCGCCTACAGTAGCCTCATCTGAAAAATTGATCAGGATGCTTAGTGATGGTGGTTAAAATAGTTAAAATACCAACACATTTCTAATCTGAGCCCAGGAACAGAGTAAATGAGAATCAGACCTTCAGATTTAATGGACCCAAACCATTAATGTGTAGAGCGCAAATAATTTATATATTAGTTAGTGGGTGCAAGAAAATCAGTGCGAGGAAGTCTAGTGATCTGGAGAAAGTCATAGACCTTACCTACATTGTCTAAACCAGTGATTCTCAACCAGGGTACTGCAACTAGGGAAGCCATGGGATCCTTTTAATGGTGTGGTGCAATATCAGCAATATTAGGTCTGAAGATGTTTGTACAATTCCATCAGATAAACCCAGAAATTTCAAATAGGAATTCATAGTGTCAGAAAAATTCTGACCTGCTGTAATCTTTCTGAGTTCTCTGCCACAGAAAAATTGCTCTATTATTTTTTCCAAAGTCAAAAACCAAGTAAAAGATAAGGGCTGGCATTTTCTGAAGGATGCCTACAGTCCAACAAGATTGAGAACCACGATCATTCCAAGCTGAAGATGTGACAAAAATCACAGACTGTCACTGACATAGCTATGCCAGCAAAACCTCTAGTGGGGTTACAGGCCAAGCTCTGCTGTTCACAGGAGCTGGTCGATTATGGAGGAAAGATTCTTTCTGTGGGCAGAGAGGTGTCCACACCAAGCAGCCTGGCTGCCTTAGTGTTGATATCATAGCAGCTCTCATACTAGACACTGCCTTTGTGAGCCTAAGATGCAGCAGGAGCTGGCAGGTGCAAGTTATATCAACTCATACCTTTCCAAATTTGACCCGAAGATAGACCAGGAAAATTGCCCACATCCTTCTTGCCCCTTTGTTAGAGAGGAAAAGAAGTTCCCAAAGGAACTGAGATGCTGCCTTCCCAGGTGACAAGAGATTGGACACCCACATGTCCCTCCTGACAAATAGAATTTAGTATCCAACCTCTTTTCTGTGGGAAACTGAGATTTCTACAACTGCACAGAAATATTTCAAAGTGTAGCTCTTGAATACAGAGACTAAAGAGCAATACAGCAAATGAAAACAAACCAACCACACCACTTCGGAGAACTCTAGCTGATTGCACTGCTGCTTATTTTCAGCTGCTTTGGATCACATTGCTACAAAAACCAGCAAGAAACATTTTTCAAGAGTGCTCTGCTCTGCCACAGATAAACGCTCTTCTTCATTTCCTATGAAATAAAGAGAACAGACAATGTCCAGCAATTGCACTACTCATACTAAAAGGTCACTAAGAAAGAGGTTAATTGCTTTGATGGCAAGAGGAGAAAAGAAAAATCATGTTTTGTCAAACTTCCCTACAATTACAGTAAATTTGAATCATGCGACATCTCCAGCTTTGTTACTTCCTTAAAAAGGGTTTTAGTTACTGGTCACTGCTGTCACTTAGAACTCTTTGCTATGCTTCCCAGATGCAAAGCCTTGCTGTAGAGATGCCACTCTCTTTGTAAAGGGTGTCCTCTTTCATAAGCCCACCTCCAGGCTCTAGGAGGGCTGGGTGTAAAAGACTTTACTGGAGAAGTGAAAAAAGCATGACAGTTCTAGCAGGGAGGACACCACATTCTGAGGACAGGTAACCTCACAAAGAAACCAAGTCATTTACAGTAACCAGAACACTGTATTAAAGGAGTATAAAGGAATCAATGTATAACGATGTCTGTACCAAATACATGTCATTTTAAAAGAAAAGGAAAAGAAAGCGGATTAGTAGATAATGAAATTCATATTATGCAGAGTTCCAGGGGAAAGTAGTGGATGAATTATTATACTGAGATGACAAAACACAAGAGCTTAACATAGACAGAAACAAAGGAATTGGCAGACTGAAAAAGAAGAAAAGGACACAAGACTTGTGAATGTTGATTTGGGTTATGGTAGCACTGTTTATAGAAGATAGATATCTGTCTTTATGTACATTTTAGGTGATTGGATTCTTACAATGTTAAATCTGTCATCTGATAAATTAGATTAATTAATAAGGACCCATGAACACTGATGGAACTAAAGAGAAAGTGAGCCTCAATACTAATGTTAGCAAGGATTACTGTCTAGGTAGTCCTGAGGAGGCAGAAAGCATGTCAGCCCTGTAAATAATAACCACATATACTATGCAAGTTAGTTTAGTGAGGGGATGTGAAACTGGAAGAGAAGATTTTTCAAGAAATTCTTACCTCACTGCGATAAAGGCTATGGACCTGCAGTCAGCTTTTTCCCCATGTTCACGCATGGTCTCCTTATCGTTCCCTGGTAGGGGCAGCCAGCTATGCACTTCTGAAAAATAAAGAAACCAGGCCAGTTCTCATTCTCTTCCTCCTTGCACCTGGGCTGGTCGCTGGCCAGATGTTTCCCCAAAGTACTCACAGGCTTGAGGATCATTTTTGCCAGAGGCACAGGTGGGAGTCTGCAGTAGAGAAGTTGTGCGAGTTGTTTCTCAGTTTCCAAGCCTCCTTCTCATTAGCCTTAAATTTCTCTTGAATAAGTCAAATGAAGGACAAGTCTTCAAAACATTTCTCATGATCTCTTGATCTGCAATAGCCAGCCAAAGACAATCCCTCCTTACTAGGGCAGGGAAGGAAAAATCTTCAGAGTGCTGAGATGGGCTCCCAAGCACAGCTGCTTCCTTCAGTGTGCAGCAAGATAACTTCTAGGGCTCCACCTGAGCCCAGATCAGCAGGGAACGCAGCAGGAAGAGGTAAATGGTGGGGTGGTTGTGACGAGGGGGCAAGAGATGCCTGCTTTCCTCACCTCCTACTCCTCACCCCCCTTCTTACCCCCACCTCTGCTTTTCCCTCCCACCAGCCTCTTTGCTTCTGCTTTTCCTATTCCCTTGGTGGTTTCCCTGCCATAACAGCAGGGTGGTGGTTTGGGGGAGGAGGGGGCTGACAAAACTTAGGCTGACCCCCTATAATTAGATTCTAGACACAAAATTAAAGCAAACTTTTAATTTTTCATGTCTAGAATCTAATTATTGGGGGTCATATTAAATTTGAAGTCATCTTAGAACTGAATACAGAATTATTGCAGTTTAGAGTTTTCCTCACGCTGTAATTACAAACTAATGTATAAGATGCTCAATATAAATCACCTGACCCCAGTGTCTTTTCAGATAAGGGCTTAACCCACAAAAGCTCTCTGACAGAATCAGATACCTGGACATTTACGCTAATTATGCCATACATTTACCAAGATAGCTGGAAGTTCATGCCTAGTTACAATAACACATTAGTGTTTATTCTTCTACAGGCCAGGCCAAAGTCAGTCATTTAGATTACACTATGGCCAAAAGGCACTGTGATTAGGGCTGGCTGTTTCCACTGTCCCTACCCATTCAGTGGCTTGCCATTTACAGGCATATGACTCCAAAGCAGTTTTTCAGTTATGGCGTGGGGAAGAATCAGTGCTCATTGCAAAGTGAGAGGCATACTATTCAGTTCCTTAGCAGAGCTCAGATTTCAAAGGGGGGGTGGGTTGGCCTTTGAAAGCTGAAACTGTTAGGTTAAAATTTACTTCCAACAAAAGCTTTTTTAGAAACATTAATATTTTAAAGAGAATTTTCGTATGATTTTGAATGGTATAAAATATAAAAGGACATCATCAGTCTTTGTTCCAAGTGTTCTAGTGGCTATATATCAAGCTTGCCTGGAAGCACTTCATTTCAGCCTATACAAACAACTACAGTGGATGACGTGCTATAAAAGATTTGCTCAAGTCCCATTAACAAATGTGTGATGCATGCAACT